CATCATGCACGTGCGTGCACGTGCAATGAGTAAAATAGTGTAGACAAGATGATATAGTCATTACGCTCATGCAATGTTGTTTAAGTCTTAAATGCATAGATTCTGCCTATTTTAATGAAACTTACAGGAATATGGCACTAAAAGGGAGTTGGGGAGCGTTTGGGGAACATCTGTAACGGTTCCCGTTACAATTAGCACTAGTTATTATTAAGGTCTTCCGACTTCCTTCGGAAGACCTTATTGTTTTCCTTCTGTTTTTTATTATTATTATTATTATTATTCTATTTTCATAGTACAGCCGATATCTCAGCTATGAGTGGACAGATTTCAAAGATTTTCTCAGGGAAGATGCATCATGAAAATATCTCAAGACGTGTTTTTCATTTTTTGAAAATTCACTTCCGTTCGCGATTTTTTGGGGAATTTCGTTTTTTTTAAAGGGCATTTTGTCCAGTAGTTTTCTCGAAAATGACTAAAGATATGAAAGTGAAACTCACTGAGGTGATAGATCATTGAACTCCGTTATGGGGAACGACCTTTATTTTTCGTCGTCGGCACTTCCGGTCGCAAGCGGAAGTGAATTCAAAAAGTCTAATTTTTCAACTTTTTTGTTTTTCAATATTTTTCTTTAGGATTTACAGGGCTTATAGAGCGTCTTCAAAGAAATCTAAATATGTTTTCATTTTCTTCATGCGTGTGTTTATTGCAAAGATATGACCGAACCAACCTTTGTCTTACTGTCAGGGGTTCGAATCCCGCTCGGGGCGTTCCCCAAATTTTTTCTTTCTTTTTGTCTTTTTTCAGTTGCAAATTACTTTTCACTCTTTCATAACATGTGTGGAACATTTTGCCGATTTTTAAAAGCTATATTTGGAGATATTTTGAGAAATACCTGGAACAATCACGATCTGTGTTGTAAAACTACTGTAAATGAACGTAAACGAAAATAAACATTCTGAAATCTATTCATGGGATGACGCAGCATAGAACTCTAAATAAAAGTCGGTCGGAAGACCTACTTGTTGCCCTAGCAACAAGAACGTATCTAGTTTTTTTTCTTATTTGTTCTCCGGTACTTTTTTGTCCGGAAGTGTTCTCAGAAACTGTTCACCCAACTGAGCTAAAACCTTTTTAGGGTTAATAGGTGTGTAGTGTAGGTGTGCGGAACGAAGGTCATTTTGCGCGCATACGCCTGCACGTGCGGGCGCGTGAAATGAGTGAAATGACAGATATACTTAAAATAGCTACAACTTTTACATTTTTTAATGAAATGTTTTGAAACTCATTATGTAAGGATATATTGATAGTGTAGATAATATGACAATGTCAAATTAGCAAGAACTCAACCGCATGCACGAGCGCTTCGCTCTGATTGGCTGAAACAAAAATCTCAATATCTCTTATGTTTTTAGACGAAATGCTTTGAAATTTTGAATATAGTCATGCCTTAGGATATGCTACAATTTGATTTATACAAATTTTCATGAAAACACGCGCATGCACGTGCGCTTTAATCTGATTGGCTGAAACTTTCAATGGCTATATCTCCTTTGTTTTTTGACGAAATGCTTTGAAATTTACAACATAGTCATGCATTAGAATATCCTACAATATGATATAAAAAAATTTCAAGAAATCATGCGCGTGGACGTGTGCTGCAATTTGATTGGCTGAAACTTTAAATGACTATATCTCCTTTGTTTTTTTACGAAATGCTTTGAAATTTAAAACATAGTCATACATAAGGATATCCTGCACTATGATATACAACAAATTTCAGCGCACGTGCGCTGCAATCTGATTGACTGAAACTTAAAATGGCTATAACTCCCTTGTTTTTCAACCAAACAGGATGGGATTTAGAATCTAGATAGATATAAGGCCCTCCTACAAGAAGGTATGGTCATCATGCACGTGCACGCACGTGCGTGCATTTGGAACGAGTGAAACTAAAAATATACTTGAATGAGTGTTTTTTAATAGTTTTGGACTAGATGCTTTAATATATAGTATATTTAAATATATAGAAAGTGTAGACAAGATGATATGATCATTGCACACGTGCATTCACATGCGCACGCGTGCAATGTTAAAATATGAATATAATTGGTATCCTTCATGGAAAACGTTTTTAAAGTCAAAAATGCACAGATGTTGTCTTATTTTATAAGGCTTACAGGGAATATGGCACCAAAAGGGAGTTGGGGAGCGTTTGGGGAACATCTGTAACGGTCCCCGTTACAATTAGCACTTGTTATTATTTTTTTTCTTATTTCTTCTCCGGTACTTTTTTTGTCCGCGAGTGTTCTCAGAAACTGTTCACCCAACTGAGCTAAAACCTTTTTAGGGTTAATAGGTGTGTAGTGTAGGTGTGCGGAACAAAGATCATTTTGCGCGCATACGCATGCACGTGCGTGCGCGTGAAATAAGTGAATTGACTGAAATACTTAATATAGCTATAACTTTTACATTTTTTGATGAAATGATTTGAAACTCATTATATAAAGATATATTAATACTGTAGATCATGTGACACTGTCAAATTAGCACGAACTCACGCGCATGCACGTGCGCTTCGCTCTGATTGGCTGAAACAAAAATCTCAGTATCTTTTCTGTTTTTTGACGAAATGCTATGAAATTTGAAATATAGGTATACTTTAGTATGTCCTACAATATGATATATAACAATTGTCATTAAATCACGCGCATGTACGTGCGCTGCAATCTGATTGGCTTAAACTTTAAATGGCTATAACTCCCTTCTTTTTCAACCAAACAGTATGGAATTTAGAACATAGACAGACATAATAGACTCCTACAAGGAAGTATGGTCGTCATGCACTTGCATGCACGTGTGTGCACGTGTGCTTTGCTGTGATTGGCTGAAACAAAAATCGCAATATCTTTTAATTTTTGACGAAATACTTTGAAATTTTAAATATAGTTATGCATTAGGATGTCCTACAATATGATATATAACAGTTGTCGTGAAAACATGCGCATGCACGTGCGCTGTAATCCGATTGGCTTATATTTTAAATGGCTACAAGTCCCTTGTTTTTCAACCAAACAGGATGGGATTTAGAACATAGACAGACATAATAGATTCCAACAAGAATGTATGGTCTCATGCACGTGCTTGCACGTGTTCTTCACTCTAATTGGCTGAAACATAAATCGCAATATCTTTTCTGTTTTTTGACGAAATGCTACGGCATTTAAAACATAAGCATACAATAGGATGTCCTACAATATGATATATAACAATTGTCATTAAATCACGCGCATGCACGTCCGCTGAAATTTGATTGGCTCAAACTTTAAATGGTTATAACTCCCTTCGTTTTCAACCAAACAGGATGGTATTTAGAATATTAATAGACATAATGGACCCCTACAAGAAGGCATGGTCATCATGCACATGCTTGCACGTGCGTGCACGTGAAATGATTAAAATTAAAAATATGCTTGAATGAGTGTATTTTTTTTTTAAACTTTTGGATTAAATGCCTTGATATTAAGTCTATTAAGGGAAAATGGCATATGGGAGTTGGGGAGCGTTTGGGGAACATCTGTAACGGTTCCCGTTACAATTAGCACTAGTTATCATTCTTTTTTTTCTTCTTTGTTCTCCGGTACTTTTTTGTCCGCGAGTGTTCTCAGAAACTGTTCACCCAACTAAGTTAAAACCTTTTTAGGGTTAATAGGTGTGTAGTGTAGGTGTGCGGAACGAAGGTCATTTTGCGCGCATACGCATGCACGTGCGTGCGCGTGAAGTGAGTGAAATGACTGATATAATTAATATGGCCATAACTTTTACATTTTTTTATGAAATGCTTTGAAACTCATTACATAAGGATATATTAATAGTGTTAATAATATGACACTGTCAAATTAGCACGAACTCACGCGCATGCACGTGCGCCTTGCTCTGATTGGCTGAAACAAAAATCTCAATTTCTCTTTTGTTTTTAGACGAAATGCTTTGAAATTTTAAACGTTGTCATGAATTAAGACATCCTACAATATAGTATGGAAAAAAATTTCATGAAATCACGTGCATGCACGTGCGCTGCAATCTGATTGGCTGAAATTTTAAATGGCTATATCTCCTTTGTTTTTTGACGAAATGCTTTGGAATTTAAAACATAGTCTTGCATTAGGATATCCTGCAATATGATCTACAAAAAAAAATTCAACACATCACGTGCATGCACGTGTGCTGCAACCTGATTGGCTGAAACTTTAAATGGCTATATCTCCTTTGTTTTTTGACGAAATGCTTTGAAATTTAAAACATATTCATGCATTGGGATATCCTACAATATGATTTAGAAAAAAATCATGAAATCACGCGCATGCACGTGTGCTGCAATCTGATTGGCCGAAACTTGAAATGGCTATTATTCCCTTGGTTTTCAACCAAACAGGATGGGATTTGAATATAGATAGATATAAGGGCCTCCTACAAGAAGGAATGGTCATCATGCACGTGCACGCACGTGCGTGCATTTGGAACGAGTGAAATTAAAAATACACTTGAATGAGTGATTTTTAATGGTTTTGGACTAAATAGTTTAATATGTAGTATATTTAAATATATAGAAAATTGTAGACAAGATGATATGATCATTGCGCACGTGCATTCACGTGCGCACGCCTGCAATGTTAAAATTTGAATATAATTGGTATCCCTCTGGGAAAACGTTGATAAAGGCAGAAATGCACAGATGTTGTCTTATTTAATAGGGCCTAAATGGAATATGGCACCAAAAGGGAGTTGGGGAGCGTTTGGGGAACATCTGTAACGGTTCCCGTTACAATTAGCACTAGTTTGTTACTGTTTTTCAAAGTGATAAATTGTTATAACAAATTGTAATCTGTTAAAATAAAAATTAGTAATTCGATGTTGCAAAAGGATAATTTATTAAAACAAATTAATAAGAGACACAGCTGCTGCCCTGATACGCTTTCGTAGTCAACTGTTTTCACTTTCAGATTACAAAAAACCAATGTACTGCTATGAGTGCCAAGATTCTTCAAACGACCCTAACAACTGCTCTGACCCATTCAATGCCACTCTGCTAGCAAAAAATGTCTCCATTTGTGAGGGTCACTGTGTAAAGTGGGTCAGGAATTCAAGCCCAGGTGAGTTTGCTTCCCTTCCGTTTAAATACATTCAGATGCAAATGCCTTTTTTAAAAGAAGGAAGCCCCATGGAGAAAGGGCTCCACATACCTAAATTGAGAAACACTGGCTGAAGCGAAACTCACATGTTCAGGTTGTACAAATGGGCTGTATGGTCTTAAGTTCTTATGTCAACAGTTTTAAAAATATGTTACAGCTGTTTTCTTTGATAACTATGCTAAAAAAATGTTCCAAACAATTATTTAAGTCTTTTTGGTGAATTCCAAGTAGAGTAAGTAAACATTTTTGATTCTATATTCCGCTGTCTACTCAACCTATTATTCCTATCAGCTATCACCTTCCACAAACATTTACACTTGCCTTGATTGTTAGCCATTGAATAAATATATAAAAGGTGTAACGATCTATATTTTAGGTGTGATGACCTACACACGCACCTGCTCTACCAACTTAAGAATCAAGTTGATGATTAACATTGTCTGCATGGAGGAGTCTAGGCCTCGCTCCGGAGAAATATGCTTCTGTAAGGACTCGAGATGTAATGTTTCATCTGGAACACAGTTTTCAATACTGGTTCTACTTTGTGGATTATTGCTATTCAAGGAGTGGACCTGAAGAAAATACACCATGGAATCAAACAATGATTGTCACTGTCACAGTACTGCAATGGTGTGATTTGATTTCAATAGTTCTTTGGAGATGTTTTTATCGTACAATCAAAAAAACTATATATACACCACTTTGCACCTTATCTATAATATGATGTCTGCATGCCAACATACCAAAACTGTGCAACAAGAACGCACATAAAAGTGATGGATATTAAACGAATTCTCAATATTTTGTGAGTACTGCACGTTGGATTTTAAAACGGATTTGTGTGGAAATATTGATGCAATCATGTATTTGAAAATGATATATAGACTTTTGAGCGAGGAGTTTCTGGTATTTATGAATTTTTTTTCAATATCACGTGACATTATCTCCCATGCGGTGTCGTGCTTCCGAGGATATATGCAAATATTGTATTACACAAATGTACATGATATTTGTCGCTGTTTTGCACCTGTAGTGTTCACATGGGATTGAGAAGAATTCCAAATGTCTCATCCTCAGTCATGCAGCAGTTGAAAAAAAACTGTAAATAGATTAAAAACGCATTCTGATACGAGTTAAAATCTCTCATCTGATCTTGATAATTCTGTAATCATGTTCAACTCGGAAATTATTGCATAAAATTGTCTTTGGATATACAATCATTCGTTAACTTTAACTTGACCTTTTTATCGAAAATTCAATGTAAGAAATATAATACTATTTAAAGTACATGTTATACAAGTATTTACAGCTTAAGTACATGTTATACATGCATTTACAGCTTACAGTGTAACAATCTTTTTTTTTTTTTAAAAATCCTCAAGGTGGGTTCGTGTAAAAGTTAGAGAAGGTAAGAGAGTGTTCGAAGAAAGGGTACAGACATGGGTGGAGGATGGGTTGTAAGTTACTGCTGACCAATTAGTACATGTGTACGATACCACCAAGTCACTTTAAATTATTTGATCTATTACAATTTAAAACATTATTTAATTCATAGCAAGCAATATGTTATTGTAAAATGTTTTAGAATAACATTTTCTGTCTCACAGAATTCTTTAGTTTCTGTTGAATAAAATTTTGAATTTTAATTTTTCTACTGGCATGTACTTCAGATACCTGACTAGCCCTGTTTATGATATACAAATCTATGATTTTATGAATTAAAAAAAATCACAACCTGAATTTGTAATAAAAGAAAAAATCTGATTTAGCAGAATTTTTTTAATGGAGAAAATGTAATGATCCATTTAAACTCAATTTAAACTCAGCAGAAGATTTAAAAGAAAAACATTTCTCTATTAAAAGAAGCAGAGAATATAAAAGATTTGTTTAAAAAAGTAAAATAGATGTTTTTCCAAAGACAGAAGTGGCTTAGGTTCATCATTTTTTCAATCGTAAGAAGTAGGGATGTGTTATAAGCAGCAAAAATCACACAAAAATAATGCCAGAAATGTCTATTTAGTTGACCTTTTGATTTTCTAGCTGACTTTAAATGTCATTTTATTAAAAAATAAATAATTTCTTTTCATCCTTTAGACTGGCTTTGATATTCAACATGTGTAATGCTTATTAATATCGATGACAGTTTGTCAATTAACTATCGTTAAATCCATTCATATGTCAACTCAATATATCCCAGTGAACATGAAAAAGAAACTAGTTCACCACAGAGTCGGTCACATCTGTTTCAGATTTAGATGATTTACGGATTAGAGACAATAAAGGCCAACTGACAACTAAATTGTATGTCAAACAAGATGACCAGCTTTTCCATTTTCTCTCCTTATTTATTTATTTATTTATTTCTCCCAGCCTTATCGATACCAAAGAGCATGCTACTGGCATTATACTTTAAAATAAGGCAAGTTACTGACAAATTAGTTGATATTAAAGGGATTTCAATTAACTTCGTTTAAAGTCAGCATTTGTAGATTCTGTGGCTGCAATGATTTAAACAATAAAATGCTTTCTTTCTTTGTTATTACTGGAATTAACGGAAGCAGCTGTTGCAGAAAAAATACATAACCCGCGTAAGCGGGTTATGTAAATTTTTTCTGCAATAGCTGCGACCGTTAATTCCAGTAATAACAAACAAAGAAAGACATTTTATATTTATATCTGTTTAAATAATCATTTAAAGTAGGATTAAAAAGATTAATTATTGTATTAATGATGCGAACGTCTTTATACGTTTCATTGATGGAACAGCCACTGATCAAGAAATCTGTACTGGCGACATGCCGACTGTAGTTCATGCAGTGATTAACGCAATGGGTTTTCTTAAGAAATAAAGGAGAAAATATTCAGCGGATGTAAATATTTAAACTAATCTTGTTAACAAATACAACCTATCACTGAGTCTTTCTTTAACATGCGTCTTTCATATCAATTGTGAGCCCTTTCTTCATTACGAAATGTTCCGTCTACATGATCAATACTAGGGCTCACCTCAAGAGATTTTTTTTTTACATCCATCTCTATTCTTTATCTTTTCCTTTTTCAAAAATGTATTAATCTAACAGAATTTGTAGATCTCGGCTGATTTTTAACCCTTTTACTTTTCACCTATTGTATGATCTATTTCAAAGGTGAAAAGTTGGTTTCGATATTTATAGAATCTTTTCATAAATCCTTCTTTTACAAAATTGTGTTACTAGTTTGTCCTTTTCTCCTAGAACTTGGTCTTGACATATTACACTCTTCTTAAAGATTCGATTTTGTCCTTCACCTCTTTATCTATGTCCTATACTGTTACTTAAAGACTGAAGGAACTTACAGAAAATTTTGAAATAACAAAATTTCCAGTATTGTACTGAGTATACAGACAGCTGCTTTTTTCAATAAAAATTTAACTCGTTAATTTACATACCTTTTCATTGTTCATTTGCAGTACTATTTTGTTTACAAACATTCTTAATTGTACACAAGTTCTATGAATTTGATATTAATGGATTAATGTGTTTCTGATTGACAATATATATGTAATATTTCGAGATAAAATCTTATAAATATGTGCCGGAATTCCAATAACTACTAATTGGAAGTACCCGGCTGTTAATTTGCTAGATCTTTTTGTTTTCATATGAAGCATAATATATTCAAAACTTGAACATTAACATGTATTTGGAGATAAGGAACATCATTCAAGAACATTATTCAAGCTCAAAAGTCCATTTAAACAATACAAATCATGAGCAGAGGAAACGCGGACTTCTTAAAGATCAGAGGAGGGATCGGGTGCCATGAGGAAGTGAGTTACCAAAGAACTTACGAAATGATGTTTCAACGAGGCTATTGGTATTCTTCTTTCATCAACTTGTTGGTCAATAAACTTACCTCGTTTTAGAAATTGTTCATACGTATCTACGTAGAACATGTTCTTGCTTTTTTAATCAACTAAGGTATACTGTATAAACCCTGTATGAAGGTGATAAGGGTAAATAATTAACTGAATAGGTAAGGGAAGTTGACGATCGAAAAGTGAAAGTTGTCACGTTTACCAGGAAGCTTGGTTGTTAAATCATCCTTATTTTTTGTAAAAAATAATGTTTTAATTTCTTTGTTGGTACGATATATCATTCTGAACTCGTAGTAAAGCCCAAAAAGTATGTCACATCTATGGAACGCCGTCACTGCCTTATAGCAGAACACAACAATTGCATTGTGTCAACCTTACATTACATTATGTCAACTCTTTATGACATTTACTCACACTACTATTGTATTGTGTCAACCTTCAATTATATTATGTCAACTCTTTATGACATTATCCCACAATACTATTGCATTATGTCAACCTTCCATTATATTATGTCAACTCTTTATGACATTATCCCACAATACTATTGCATTATGTCAACCTTCCATTATATTATGTCAACTCTTTATGACATTAGTCCACACTACTATTGCATTGTGTCAACTTTTCATTACATTATGTCAACTCTTCATGACAATTACACACACTACTATTGCGTTATATCAAATTTCAATTACATTATGTTTAGTCTTTATGGCATTAACTTGCACTTTAATTACATTGCGCCAATCTTCCATTGCATTATAAAAAATGTTTTTATATATTTTCAACTCATTATTACATTATGTGCACTCTCTACTATTTGGTCTAAGTAGTTCAATACATGATGTGAATTTATCTTTAACTCAATATCAAGTCGTTATAATACGATGTCAGAATTTCATTACATGATCTGAAAAAATTGTCACATGTGGTCAATTCTTTTACTACTTTATGCCCTCAATATGCTACATGACGACGTGAATCAATTTCATGATGTGAAATTGCCCTTACTTTTTGACAAATCGTTATTACGTTATGTCATTGTGTCTTTACATTGTGTCAAAAATGCTAAGCCTCTTGTCAGCATACATGTATCTTAGGCTATTTCATCTCATATCAGATGTGAAAAGCTCATGTCATACTGTGCGCACTCTTCTACATTATGTCGATTCACTATTACGTTATGCGAACACGGGTATCCTCGGCCTTTATATGAGCATAACGTATTTTCCGCATTCCGAAAGCACTAAAAATGGCGGGAGAGAAAACTGTCATAAAATAAATTCTCAGCGATTTGGGAATTGCATCTTTAAATGAAAACATTAAGCGAAAAATGATTGACAATCTTGAAACGTGCAAAGCCTTAACACTGCGACTGTGAATTAAAGTCACGCGTCGAAATTCAATGGCGTTTACTTTTATCTGATAATTAAATAAATCAAATATGAGTCGTGCAGCATTTTTTTTTCTTTTGAATTGCTTTTATAACACACGTGCACTGGCGGGTTGGGGAGGGGGGGGGGGGCAGAAATCCCGCCCTACCATCTTTAGTCACCAAAATATACATAAAATTAATAAATTTATTAGTTTTACGTTGTAGGTCATTGCATTACTTTCACATTAAGTTTAGCTGAATTAAATTGAAAACTTTTTCTATATAAAACTATAAAGCCTGCCGGAGAGTTTTTCCGCTTTCCCCCTTTGGTCACCAACTCTATACCGTCCCCCTTCTTTTTTCAAGATTCCCATATGCGCCACAAATATGTGCCCATGCATGCTCAATTGATTTAGATGAGGGACTGGTAGATTTTTGTAACAGAATTCTGGTCTTGGAATGGTTGAAAAAATTACAGTAACTAATTCCGTGACATAGCATTTATTTGAAAAAG